CAGACATTATAAGGCCCGGACGAAGTTTTTTTTTGCACACAGTGACGCGACCAATCAATCACTCCTTTAATGCTGCGTTCACACCAGACGCGAATAGCGCGTCAAATTCGCGCCTACCGCGTCTAGTTATAGCCTACGCGTGAACACTTTTAATCCATTCGCGCGTCAAGAGCAAATGACGCGCGTAAAAAAAACTAAAGTTTAGACTGGCTGCCTGCACATTCACTGTCCTCGCGGCTGCGGCTGCTGCAATTGGAAGGGGCTGGCTGCAGGACGACTCAACTTCCACGGACAGTTTTTAATATGATATATCAAGATTTGACTTCTGGTCACCCTAGGGAGGAAAAATCTGAGGGGGCACGTGCCCCCTCACTTTGAATGGGCATGACGCCACTGCCATCATGTTTATTTTGTGCTATAAACTATAGTAAAGAGGAAGAGATGCCGATTAAACTAGGGCGATTAAAGAGCCTCTCACGCCATTAAGAGCCACAAAACCACATTTATTGTTTGAATTTCATAATAAAATTGAAAGAAATTGAAAGCTGAGACATAGATATCAATTGTGAACTGCTATGTCTTCTTTATTGCCGAGTTGTCTGTCTTTTTTGCTCCTCATAATCATTTACAGTTGTGGATTTACTTTCATAAAAGTTATAGCCTACATGGATTTTGAACAATAGCTACCCGTTCTTGTCTTAGGACAACTTTGATGAACTTTTTTAATACACTTCAAATGTTGACTACTGTATTTATTTTGAATTTCTCTTTCCATGCAGAGGTTGGGTCACTTAACAAGTTCCATGTTGTGAAATAGCCATATCGACCGACAGGATGACGTGGCACGCGTTGCTCTTTCCAAACACAGACGGTGTGGGAAATCTGTGGAATTATGTGTTCATGCCATTCATAATCTCCAATGACATCATGAGTCAGTGAACCCTAACATGGACAAATCAATACCCACAAACTCCAGACAGAAGTTGTGCCCACTGTCTGTGATGATAAAGGGTTTCTAACCTTTCAGACGGGACGTCACTTTCCCTAACAAAACTAGAAAAGGGGTTTCGCTATCGGTCAGGCAAACTATGCGGGAGAAGATGCAAAGTGTGTATCATCACTCCTGTTCGAACAGCACAGCACTGTTAGCTGAGAACACACCCGTTTTCAATCGTGTATGACTGACGTGTAGATTAATATGAATACAGTAGCCTAGCATCTAAAACTGATAAATTATTTTTAATACAAAACGCGCTTGAAAACGATATTTAAGGGACGGTTTACCCAAAAAATTGTGTTATTAGTACTTACTCACCCCGAAGTTGTTCCAAACCTGTACGAGTTTTCTGTTGTATTCATAAAAGAATATTTTTTTAAAGAATGTTGCACAAACAGCACACATTGACTTCCAGTTTTCTACTAGCCTATGGAAGTCAACGGGTGCCATCTGATTACCCACATTAAAAAATGCTTGTGTTCAACAGAAGAAAGAAACTCATACATGTTTGGAACAACTTTAGGGTGAGTAACGACAACATTTTGGGGTGAACTAATTATAAGCGATTCCCTAAAGAAGAAAAACAGCTTTAATGGGAGTGTTCTGCCATCTACTGGATTTACTGTGCAATGACCACCAGTTCGAGGATGAGTTCCAGCATGAGGGATGCTGGTATCAGATGGTAATACCATAGGCGTAATTCTATGGGGGGACAGGGGGACACGTCCCCCCCAATATTCAACGAAGGGCAATTTGTCCCCCCCAATATTTGATCATATTTGGGGCGCGTTTCCATTACAGATTTGCGCAAAACTTTTGCGATATTTTCTAAATGTCGATAAAAAACTATTGCGAAATGACGGCGTTCCATTAACCGATGTTATGCGACTAAAACGTCTTTTTTTTCCTCTCGCGATAAGTCATTCCAAAAATCATGGCAACGGACGTTGGTAGGTTTATAGCCTATATCACAGCCCCCGCATAGACATTATTATTATTATTGGAAGGAGACGTGGCGTGTTATCCAAGCGTTAATGGCAGGGAAAGACACGGAGTTCCATGGGTGTTTCTCCCTCATTTCTGCTCCGATGTCTTGATTGTGGCATTTCTTTGAGGTTTAGACACTGATCAATATAGAATTACTTTATTAATGTCATTATATAGATCAGTGGGTTTAGAGTCCAGACTATTCCTGTAATTATTGTTTCTTTTATGAATTCAATAAAGAACTCTGTCTCGTATTATGTCCAAACCGTCGGTGTACTTGCATTCATTTTTCTTATTTAACCCGTAATTGCAAAACGAAAAATGAACGGTTGTTGTATTTTTAAAACGCAAAGGTGAACACCAACATTTTAGTTTGACCTAGGCCTACACCAAATGCTGGAAAAAAAAAAAAAAAAAAAATTATATATATATATATATATATGAGAGAGAGAGAGAGAGAGAGAGAGAGAGAGAGAGAGAGAGAGAGAGAGAGACGAATTTTCAGATATTTGTTTATGACTTTTTGCCCCTTTATTAAACATTTAAAATATTCACAAATTAATATGGAGAATTTTTTTTAGATTTTACTGGTTTTCTAAGGCCAAATTAGAACCTGGAAATTATATTTTTCCCGCAGTGCTCAATGAGAGGAGCCATAACCACAGCCTACAGAAAGGGGATGTATAGGCTAGATGAGTTAGGCTAATAAATGTGTCTGAAAAAATAACGAGGCATTTTAATTGTTTATTAATAAACTATTGTTTTCCTAAATCAGTGTCGGCTAAAAACATATCTCCATCTCCGGATGCACCTTTAGAGAGAAATGCACCTTTCATACGGATTACATAATCAGAAGGTATTAGCTTTCGATTCGAATTTGTTCCTTTTAAAGTGGACATTTAAAGCTTCAGTCTACAAAGGCTATAGCCTATCAGTTCTCGCGCTTCAGTTCACGGAGACCATGAAGCGCGCCTGATTGTTTTATTTTATTTTACAAAAGCACATCGTTTTCTTGTTATTGTGAGATTACGCAAATAAAAGTAGTTGCGAATAATGTATTATTATATTCTGTATGACCAGAACTGATAGAGTATTTTAAGTTGTTTCGACTGTTGATAGGAAAATGCAAGTGTTCGCGGCCGCGCCTCCGTGCCATCCAGTGCGCGCTCCACACCCAGTCCGCACACACACTTGGATATGCGTCAAAATCTTGTGTTTATTTGTGATAATCTTAGCCCTATTATTGTCCAACCTGTATTATGAATGAAATGTGACGAATTGCTTTGTTCCTTTTTTGGATAAAAGCGTCTTCTACATATAATAAATGTTATAATAATGATAATAATAATTATTATTATTTGCGGACAAGGACCCAAAACACACCGCGTATTCTAAGTCAGGTGACTGTAAATGCGCAAAACCCGTTTCCATTGCAGTTTTGCGAAATATTCCTTTTTCAAATTGCCTGAAAAACCTCCTCATGCGAGCGTAAAAACTTTATTGGGATAAACGGGAGTTTTTGCGAAATGGACGTGTTTCCGCATTTTTATTACGCAATTTCAATTTGCGCAATTTGAAGGGTAGCCTAATGGAAACGCGGCTTGTATGATTATGCGGGCAGGGCCATATCGATGTGATTGCAAATAGCCTACGTCTTTCTTCCCAGCTCCGAAAATATAAAATCCCGGCCGGTCCATTTCCCAAATCCATTCGACTTGTCTTACACTATACATTTAGCCAAACCTATTTCTCCTGAAATCCATGTCATGTTTTCCTATCCCTTTAGTAGCTTGTGCATCGTCAGTGAGTTAGGAAAAACCAAACAGAAGAAGAGTTAGGAGGAGCGCGGAAATTGACAGACATTTGGCACATAGGCTATCTATGAATGGTAAATATCCTGTAACAGTAATTTAATCAAAATGTTTATAGCCACTATATGTTTATAGAAGAATATAAGAGAGAGAGATCACTGACCGCTTGTTGTCAATTCAGGCCTGTAATTGATGCCGATGCTGTAATCATTGTGACTAGGCTATACGTTGGTTTGACGATCAGATGTAATACAATTCCTTGTTGTGTTATACAATTACAAACATTCGGACTCTGACTTTTATTTTATTTTGATTAAAAAAATGTGTGCATGCGCCAACACAAAAAGTTCCACAGCTGTCCCCCCCAATGTGTGATTGACAATTTCGCCCTTGGGTAATACTATTGTAGTTGTTGATTTTAATAGTCATATACAGTACCATTGCATCTGTATTTCAAGTAAACAATATGGTGCATGTCTAAAAAACGTGATATTTTATCATATTAAGTAGTATATTGATAAAAACAAACCACAGGTTCTATTTAAAACTGTATTCAGGACAAAAATGTCACAAACTATACAAACTATTGAACGTATTCATACATCTGAGATGGAACATACAGTATAGAGCACTGAATTTTGGCCCTCAGATAAAAGAATAAAGTCACGCTTTGTAATAGGTGGCATTAACTACTATGTACTTAACCATTTGATACATACAATATACTTATTATATGCACATAATATTGGTGCTTTGTAATTACAATTAAAGTACCTGCATTTAATTAACATGTCGACCATACTTACACTAAACCCTTTTCATTAGCAATAAGTGTGTGAACTTTCCTAGAAAATGTCCTTTAATCTTTTACACAGTCAATCCATGGTTTCGTATTTAATGTTAGTACATAGCAGGCCACGTACTATAAAGTGTGACTATTTTATACAAATGAATTCACATTAGTAAGACACTGACTGTTACAACCTACTAAGTGCACATCCGGTGGTACAGTAAATGAAACAGGCGGTACTGTATATTACATGTCTTCTAGTTAAAATGATATGACGGGAATTAATAAAAATGTCTCATGATGAATACATCATCCAATAATTTTGGACAACAAACAATGTTTAGATTAGTTGGCTAGTCTTTCTGTTGTTTGCAGCATGTCGGATTAACAGTAGAAACTCCTGGATAGGCTGTATCCTCCTCATTGAGCGGCTCTCCTCAAAGTTTAGACTTGGCCTGGAAGAAGGTCATGATGGCCTGCATGCATTCATCTGAGAGCCAGCGCTCCACCAGTCTCTCCACCTCTGCGTCGTTCACGGCGTGAAGTTTCTCTTTCTCCACTCCGCGGATCAGCTGCTTCGACAGAGCCAGAGCCTGAAGGGGTGCAAGAACATGAGCATGATGAGCGCAGACATGTGACGGCAGTGTTTTAGAATACAAGTGAGATGTATTGCCTTTTTGATCAAATTTAGTTTTCATCCAGCATGATCCTTTTACCTGAGAATGATAAGTCATTTTTTTAACACTAGTAGGGTACAACAGGTCTGAAGGCAGACCATCAAATGTTTTGCTTTTCACTACTGCCATAGTGTATGCTTGCAGAAAATATATATGTTTGTATTGGATATTGATGGAGCAACAGATTTTGTGTGAAACGTTTCATTGGTCTCTTGTCTAGTATTGTCCCCGTTACCACTGTTTGTCAAGTCAAGTCCAGGTTTATGTTCATGTTGATTTCATGTTTAAAGTTTAGTTCAAGTCAAGTTTGTATTTAATAAAACTGCACATGAGTTCAGCTGCAACTCGCCTCACTGGACTTTTGTGACAAGTATGTTAATTTAAAAAAATATAGAAACAAAATTATTTTTAAAAAGTAACGATTCTGAAAGCATTGAAGGAGATCCCATCATTTAATATAGATTTACAGTGGTAACAAATACATATATTTTATTATATGATTATATAATATTATAATAATTTGACATATGACATTTACCATCTGAATCTAACCATGTCAACAAATGGAAAGTCAGCCAGCTGTTTATTATCATGTTAATTATTGTACCTTTTACCCCAAATACCATACTTTACATATTCTTCCGTTATTGAAAAACTGTTGCTTTAATTACCTTGTACAAAACTAAAAAATAGTTAAGACCTTTGTTTCTGAATATATTCAATGATTTTATTGATTCTACAAAAATCTACATTTTAAAAGCATATTTATCAATTTGCAACAAGAATATTTTCATACTCCTAAGGCGTGTTAAGACCTTTATTTTGAAATAGTGATGAACATGAAAAATCATGAAAGAAGGGTAGAAACCTCAGTTTGTTTTCATGCCAAGAGTTCAAAAGATAGCATCCATTCAATTATTTTAGAAAAAAAGGTCTGATTTTTTTTTTTTTTTTTTTATATATAAAGAAAACAAGTATAGATTCACCATTTGTGATGTGGCAGGAAGCTATAACGCACATACTTGTTATTTTCATGTGTTTCTTAGAGGTTGAATTCATATCAAAATCTGCCAAACTTCTTATATTACTTCTGAATAGGATGTCTACCTCATAAACTGTATGAAAATTTAGGAAATAATGGTTCAGATCACTCAAAACACATGGAAATGGAGGCGCCCTTATATGGGCAGTAATGGAGTCTGGTTGTCATCTAGTGAGAAAGTTTGGTACTGCGCCCAAACAAAATCGTACTGAAAGCTCATTTTTTGAGATATCAACCTAATATTTGAAACACAACTTATTCAGATTTTTGGCTTTGAGTTTTTTGCAGTTTTAGAGTAGCCCAGGTTTTGAAAATATATATTTTAAATAAAATATGAATAATTATATTTTTTTACATTGGACATTTTCATAAACTCAAACTTCTATAACTTTTTTTCTGTTTCACTTTCTTAATTTATTTCAATTCTACAAGAATCTGCCAAATATCTTCTTTAAAACGAGACCAATCTTACGTCTATATTCCAAAGCATTCTTGAATTACAACCATTTAAGTTCGAAATGTGCATTTTCATGTTTATTCAAAAAAAGGGGGGTGACACTTAACAGGTTAAAGGAAAATAAAATCAAAGGCGTCTTTTACCCTGGTGCTCCTTTAGCCCTTTTGTACCCTATATCACATATGCAGCAGTCTGAGCACTTACGTTCCTGGGCAGTTTGGCGTAGGCCTTCAGTCTGGTCCACACTTCGCTCTGGAAGGAGCTTTCAGGAAAGACCTCAGTCACCAGACCCACTTCACAGGCCTGTGTGGCCGTCAGCTTCTTATTAAACAACAGCATCTCACTAGCCTGGAGAGAAAGGACACAGAGGAGTCATACAGAAAACTGTGGAGAAGCGTGTAATTTCTGTTGCTGTGTCCCAAATCGCTCACTTGTTTACTGATTCTCTAATCCCTATATAGTGCATGGCAGTTGAGTGCACTATATAAGCAAGGAGTGAACGAAGCGAAGCGAGGAATTCGGACACTGACGTATTACATCAGAGAGCTGTCGCTGAAACACATACATTAAATGTAGCTTACTTTAGAAACAGACAAGAGTCATAGTGACTTTAGTTTGTTATTATGCAAACCTCCATGCCAGCTGTATGTATTGCATTCATTTTAAGTATCTTTAACTCTCCTGTCCAAGCACCTTTTAAGACATATTGATAATGTGTGTTTAGCACCATCACCTGACCATTATAATAAGATGAATTCATTAAAGTATACCTTTTTGTTTATATTCGACCACGGCTGTTTTCGTGACTTTTCCCTCAGTATAATTGGGTATGGGCAACAGGTAGGCAGGAACGTTGATAGCTATTCATCAAGTCATCGCTAAATTGGACAGTCACGCTAAAAGCGTGTTGTTTTAATAAGGTTTTGTGTCAGGTGAAAAATAAATTATTTAACGACTGAAATCTTGTATTATTCCTGAGATTGTTTTGACGGGAGTCGATTCCAGAAAACCTGGAATCGAATAAATAAACCTGGAAACACCCATAAGTATTAGCATTTTAATTTTACAGTTGAGCAATAAAATAATTATATAAAAAAAATAAAAAAATAAAAATATACACATATACATATATATATATATATATATACACACACACACACACACACACACACACAGGTGAAACTCGAAAAATTAGAATATCGTGCAAAAGTTTATTTATTTCAGTAATTCAACTTAAAAGGTGAAACTAATATATTATATAGACTCATTACATGCAAGGTGAGATATTTCAAGCCTTTATTTTTTATAATTTTGATGATTATGGCGTACAGCTTATGAAAACCCCAAAGTCAAAATTAGAATATTGTGAAAAGGTTTTCATAGCTGTAAGCCATAATCATCAAAATTATAACAAATAAAGGCTTGAAATATCTCACTTTGCATAATGAGTCTATATAATAATATATTAGTTTCACCTTTTAAGTTGAATTACTGAAATAAATTAACTTTTGCACGATATTCTAATTTTCCGAGTTTTACCTGTATATATATATATATTTCAATTAAAAGTTAAAATACACAAATATTTCTTATTGTGTTTATTTTATTTAGTAATATTATAGTCATATGAATCATAACATATTTGCCAACTTTTGTAGCCCTACAAACAAGCACAACAAATCTGGAGCTTTTTTTTTCTCTCTGCATTTTAAAATCGCAAATACAGGTTTTATCCGAAAAATTGCAATCACATTTTCCCCCAAATCATGCAGCCCTGTGTACATCAGTGCTGTGCTGTCAGTCGATTCAAATAATGAAATGCAATTTATCATCACAATATTTTTAGTAGTCAACCGATTAATCTCAAGTTTTCTTTGTGTGGATATCCATACCTTTGCTGTGCCCATAATTTTGGGGAACAGATATGAAGAGCAGCCCTCCGGACTCTGACCCAACTGACTGAAGGGTGTGTGAAACGTCGCCTACACACACACACAACAAATGGGGAGGTGTGAGCCAAAATACAGATAGATATATAGACAGACATTATTGATATACTGACGAAATCAGCTCACCCTCTCTGTGGCATAAACAACATCAAACAGTCCCAACAGGGTGACTGATACCCCCACCGCCGGTCCGTTTATCACTCCGATCAGAGGTTTGGGGAAGTCAATGTACGCATTCACGTACCTCCTAAAACAACACAAGCACACGTGTCCATCAAGCTAAAGCTAAACACGAGTATAAACTGGTTTCAATTTCCAATAAAGCAAAATAGACTTTACCTCAGCAACTCCCCAGATTGTTTAGCCATGTCCTCCACTCCACCCTCAGGGATCTTCGTAAAGTTGTTCAGGTCGTTTCCGCTGCAGTAATAATCCCCGTTACCTTTAGAGTCAGAGAGAGGAGGGTGAGAGATGATCTGCAAACGCTGAATCTCATGATGATGTGTGAAAGGTAAAGCAGAGTACTTCACCTGTCATCACTGTAATGACAGAATCGTCTTTTCCAGCCAGATCCAAAGCTTCAATCAGCTCGTTGTACATCTACAGGAGGCAAAAAAATAACTTTTTTTTTTACAAATGTCTAAGCATCAGTGTTGTTACTGTTGAGTAAAACCAGAAAAAATGATTTTGTTAATTCAAATTAAGCTGGAATACAACAAATATAAGTAAAAAATTTAATTCAATTAAAATTAGAAATGCTGCCTTGGCGACTAACTGACATAAAAGTTTACACCGAAGCTAAATAGAAATACTAAAATAAATAATAAATAAAAAATAAAAATTACATAAGCATATAACACAATTGCCAAAACTTAAACTAAAATTTGAATAAAAACATAAAACTAAAAGCTTAATTAAAATATTAATAAATACTACAATAGTATACGGATAATATCAAAGTAACACTGCTAACATTTTGTGTGATAAAATAAAATATTTATTTTAGCTAGTTGAGTCAACATTTCTTATTTTCATTTAGTTTAACTTAATGTAAATAAACAAATAAATAAAAGCTACATAGACAAAATTACTAACATTTTAAATCACAACACAAAATATAACAATTAGGGCTGTCAAATGATTAATCGTGATTAATCACATCCAAAATAAAAGTTTTTTTTACATAATATATGTGGGTGCACTGTGTATAATTATTTTATATATATATAAATACATACACATGCTTGTATATATTTAAGAAATATTTTCATGTATATACTGTATATAGATTTATATATAATTTATATTATATATAAATATTTTATATATAAATAATATTTTTTTCTTAAATATACATGCATGTGTGTGTATTTATATATATACAAAATAATTATACACAGTGCACCCACATATATTATGTAAAAAAAAACTTTTATTTTGGATGTGATTAATCGTGATTAATCATTTGACAGCCCTAATAAAAATATGAATAAAAACTAAAATAGCATATCAATAATATCAAAACAACACTGCTAAGCTAATGACAATAATAGATAGTAATGTTTAAATGTTGTCATTATTACACGACTCTCTGGAATACTTTTGATTGGTCAATCGTTGCATTCTTCAGTCAATTATTCATGTATAATATGACCGTTGTCCTCAGACAACTGATGTATTAGTTTGAAACCCCCCAAAATGTAAAAACTGAGTTTTCTCCTGTGCGATGTGTGCGTTGTGACCTCTACAGTGATGGCGTTTTTCTTCCCAGGTCTGTTGAGGCGTATGGTGGTGATGTTGTTCTCTGTGGTGACCAGCAGGGTCTGGAAGGCCTTCGAGCTCCCGGTCGTCTGCGCGGACACAGCAGGAGCTTCTGATCCCACCAGAGACTCGATGAGATCCACGTACTGCTGCCTGGCCTCCTCCTGACACATGAAGCACACGAGGATCACATGATCGAGCGGTTCACGTGCACAGGCTTTATTTAGAGGTCTGCAGGGCGATCAGGTCCAAGCCTGAACCTTGTCCTCTGACCAACATTAAAGATATAGACATATATATATGAAGTAATAAAATTATCAAAACAGAATTATCATAAATATTTTGTATTAATTTGAATGTAACTCACATACACACTCATAAAGAGCAATAAAGTGCAAGTCAATAAAAGGAGCGGTGATATTATAATAGTCTTATTTAAAATTGTTATGGATTTTTATGTGCTATGCTCATTTTTAAAAAGCTTTTAAAAATATTTCTATTTATCTTTCATTTTGGTCACTTTTTAGCTTTTTATAAAAAAACATTTCTATTTAATTTTGGTCACTTTTTATAGATTTAAAAATAAATAATAAATAACCATTATATATATCTTTTTTTCTTCTTTTAAAAAAAAAAAAATCTGATAAAAATGACAAAAGCTAATAAAAAGTGTCCAAAATTAAATAAAATGTTTTTATAAAAAGGTAAAAAGTGACCAAAATGAAAGATAAATAGAAATATTTTTAAAAGCTTTTTTAAAAATGAGCATAGCACATAAAAATCCATAACAAGACTATAACTTAAGACTATTATAATATCACTGCTCCTTTTATTGACTTGTTCTGTATGAGCGTGTATGTGAGTTACATTAAAATGAATACAAAATATTTATACAATAAAAATTGTATTACTGTTATTGGTAAAACTTTATTTTAATGTGACGTAGTTACTACATGTACTTACTATAGTAATAACAGTAAATGATGCATAATTACAAGCAACTAACCCTAATCATAACTCTACAGTAAGTACATGTAGTTGATTTTAATATTAATCAGTACATACTTGTGTAAGTACAATGTAACTACATCACCTTAAAATAAAGTTAAGTTTTTAAAACCCTGTTTTTTTTTTTTTTTTTTTTTTTTACATTATCAATAAAATAATTGGTTTTGTAATTAATTACACATTTAAACCTGTAGTAATACATGAAAAGCTGATCCCAAATTGTAACTTTAATTTGGTCTTTAGTGAAAAATAAAAGACAGAACTCATGAATGTTGCTGTCACCTGTGACACGGACCCCAGACTCTTCCATGCGTCCCATTTCGCTTTGTTCACAAAGTCCAGCATGCCGGGTTTGGGGCTGTTGCAGGGTCCTTGTGTGGCCTGAGCGTTTACAAAACAGAAATGAGAGAGGGGGAAAAACTAGAGGATGTCAACGAAAACTTTTACTAATAGGTTTAGTTTCATTAAATGTATGCCTACAGCAATTAATTCAATTGATAATAGCCAGATAAAGTACACTGAAAATCACCATGGATTGGTCTTAAACCTTCGGTCACAACCATGATACGTCAACAGCAAATTCAAACCATTCAAAAGTTTGGGGTCGGTAACATTTGAAAACATCTCTTCTGCTCACTGAGGCTGCATTTAGTTGATCAGAACTACTGTACTTTTGGGAAATAATATTACAATTTAAAATACCTGTTTTCTATGTGAATATATAGTAAAGTGTAATTTATTCCTGTGATCAAAGCTGAATTTTCAGCATCATTACTCCAGTCTTCAGTGTCACATGATCCTTCAGAAATCACTCTAATATGATGATTTGATCCTCAATTATTATTATGGAGTGGCTTTTTCCACTAACTCCGCCCACTGGCGTCTGATTGGGCCAGACAAAATTACTGGAGACGCTTGAATAACAACAGTAGCAATAGTTTTAGGGAAAGTTGACGCAAATCGACCCGAGCTCGAAACCGCCTTTTGCCGAACTTGCTCTACTCCTTTTTCCCCCATTACACGTCAGATTGAAATATTTCGAATAAAAATAAAGAAAATATTCAAAAAGTGGAAATAAAGTGTCTAATAATAAAGTGTGTATCAGTCAGGGTTGGTGTAGGGAGGGATTTATTGTCCCAATAAGGCACCATCTATTTAATAATTTTAATAAATATAATAATTTACACTCTATGTTATTATTGCATACCTTTTAATGTACAACAACACTGGGGTGCATATAGTATTTGCCTGTGTTTATGAGTAAATATAACATCTAACTACTATTTAGTCTTATTGCAAAGAAAATATTGCTATTTTCTACATTGTATAAATAGAACATCTATTGCTATTTAAACTTGTGTGTGTGTAAATAGCATCTATCACTAAAAAATATGCCATATCTACACTTAGTTCAAATAGCCTTATTATTATTGTAGCTGCTCAATTATTACTAATGATTCTTCTTATCAATGTTGTAGTTTTTGCTGCTTGAAAACCATGACACGTTTTTTTCCAGGATCCTTTGATTAATATAAAGTTCATAAGAACAGCATTTATTTGAAATATAAATCTTTTGTAACATTATAAATGTCACTTTAGATCAATTTGAATGCATCATTGCTGAATAAAATAATTAGTTTCTAAAACAACAAAAAACTAAAACAATCTTACTGACACCAAACTTTTGAACAGTAGTTTATGGAAACACACATTTCACGAGAAATGGAAAAAGCAGGAAATTGAAAAACAAACAAATGAATCCCTGATGCATAACCGTTTAATACTTTTTTTTTAGTTAGGCTATAGCCTTTTTCTGTCCCATTACTGAAGCTATGTCAGTCAAGAGCAGGGCGTTATTGATCAGTTTCTCACCTGTTTAAACAGCGCATAGATCTTGAGTTTGACTTGATTCCCTGGATCATTTTTCAAAGTGCCCAGTTTTTCTTTGGCCGTGTTGAAATCTTCCACTGAAGCTCCCATAACTGAAGCGGTGCTGTGCAGCTGAACACACGGTATCAATGCAGCTCTACTCGCTCTGGACATACATAATAAACATAGCACAGTTTAGGCAAAGCACAGTCGGAACTAGACTTCAGGGTCCAATATGAATGCGCGTGCATTATGAGTGTGTGCGCGCGCGCCTGTGTGTAAAGTGTGTGAGAGGTGAAGGTGTGACACCGTAGGTAAAGGTCAGAGCGAACACAAGGTAAAGGTAAACACAAGGTAACGTTACAGGACTATTTCTATGGCATAACACAAGATGATGTACACAGTTATGTCCATAACAATGATATAAGTAACGTTACATCAGCAGATTATAATAATATAAGCGTCGATCTGGTCTGAAGCTGCTCGAAATAAACGCACATGTTTCACACATCACATTTGTAATAAAGTTCTTACCGGGTGAATCGGTGAAATCTCCACGGCGAGACGAGTTTGATCAGAGCAGCCATAACCCTGACGAGCACTGATCAAAGTTTATGTACACAATAACCATCTGATGGTCGGCGCTGCTGTCAATCATCTGTCAGTTCATCTGACCCCGCCCACTAAATCGAGTATCAGCCAATCAGACGTAATGCCTTTCTCACTCTCTAAATTAAATGCGGGAATGGATCTGTTCAGAAACAGTTACTGCCGCCTCCTGGGTGGAGGGTTTGCCAGATATATGGCAGAATAACGCCTGTCTCCTGCACGCGAGAGAGGAGAGAAGAAGAAAGTTGGTAAATGGGGTAAATGTCAGTTCAGTTGTAAGTTCATTCTATATGTGCGTATGGGGTGTGCGATGTGTATTGTCTATTATGATATTGTAATCATTCTTTTAACTATGTACGAGGCACTGTGAGCTGACATAGCATTTGTCTATCGTCCTTTCACTGCTGTGTGCAGTTCATAGGTAGGCTATGTCCCCAAATTAGTTTTTGTCTTATATTTATATCATATTATGTTCTTATATTAGAATATCACATCAGCAAGAGTGTCGTTTTCCCGTGCACAATTGCAAGTGTGATATTTATGTTATACAACAGTTAAATTAACAATAAGTTAACATTGGGAGTTACTTTTTAGACACACTATTGTCAATATTGTTTGTTTTCCCTTTATTTCGCCCACTAGAATTTCATAATGAAACCGTAGTGAGTCTCAATGCAACACAGCGATGATTTATTGACTGAAATCCGCGTTTTGAACGAATCACTTGCTGCTTTCCCGAATAAATCAGCCGTTTGAACAAATCGTTTGAATGAATGACTCCCTCTACAGCTGCATAGAATATGAAAAATATTAATATCTTCGTGAGTCAGCTGTCAACAACAGGCCTAAACCAGCCATGGCACCAGCACATAAACACAATCAGTAAAATATTATCTAATTATTAACAAAATGTTGAAAATATTGAAATATATTTTTGTCAATATTGCACACCCCTAATGTACGGTATTAATTTTGATTTCTTTAGGTCTTAAAAAGCCTTAAATTTTACTTTAAAAAGTGTGCAGGAACCCTGTAAACGGTTAGACATATCAAGTCAGTTATTTTCAGTAAATGAATTAATAAGCTTCTTGGTCCCCATTGCTTTTGCTCTATAGTTCTCAAAATGAAGAGAAAGAAGGACATCATGTCTATTACAGTTACTGTGACTAATACTGAATATGTAATGCAAATGTAAAAATATAATGGAAATGCAAATACATTGTTGAATGATTATAAACACGGTATTTTGCCTGTTAATGCCTGCAGCAGTGCAGAAAATGATATGACAACAATAAGGTCTAAATGTAACTGGCCCCTCTAACAGTACAACTGGCCCCAGCTTGCCCCCCCCAGTTGAAATGGGCTAGAACCGCCACTGGATATATCTTCATTAGTTGACTGAATTTTAGCTTACATGAAAGAATTTACAAATAGTATTCTGATTTAAGAGGGGTTTGAACTATAGGCGTTTGAAAAATACAATAACACTGTTAGAGAAAACAAGCATTTGTTTGGACATTTGACTCAAATCCATGATTCAAGCCAACACTAGATGGCAGCAGAACTACACTACAAGTGCACTGCCCTCTTGCAGGAACAAAACCTCTAGTAGTTTATGAAATTAAACCGAAAGGCAACTCATATAACCAATAAATATTTTTTGGTTTTATTCATTCAAGCACTAGCTAAATCATTTTATACCATGGTTTGTCTGAAGACTCGTATGTTTGCCTGGAAAGAGTTCAATAAAACCGTGTAATGTAGGCTACCAGGTCAATGTTGCTGCTTTTTTCTTTGATTAATATAAAGTTCAAAAGAGCAGCATTTATTTGAAATGGAAAGCTTTTGTAACATATTTGTTTCTTTACTATCACTTTTGACCTTGTGGTAAATGTAATGTATCCTTGCAGAATAAAAGTATTCATTTCTTAAAAAAAAAAAAAAAAAAATAATCAACCTTTTAGAATATATCAAAATACTTGTTCATTTGCCCTGTCCTAATAAAAAAAAATTGGATTACCCTTCCTTTTCTATACTCTAGATGTTTCACCCCATTAATTCCTTAACATCTCCTTATGGTGGAAGTCATCAGGAACGTCTCCCTGCCAGCACAGGATCCTTTCCATCCATTACATTTCCAACCAGACATTCTCTCTTTAAAAGTCTATTGCAGTACAATGATTGACCATACGTGTGGACCCGCTGCCAAAGGCTTTTTCTTATTACTTGATCCTTATTAAAAATAAAAAAAAAAACCCACATATTATGCTAGTTTATACGGAGCCCCCCTAGTCCCACTTTGTCCAAAAAATGTATTATAACTATCTCGTGGCCTCAAGATAAGTAACTCGTGGCCTCAAGATAGTAACTCGTGGTAGTAACCCCCCCCCAGTTTCATCGGGGAGAAGATTTCTGTGGTGGTTCTGGCTCCTTTCTATGGTGGCTATATTGTGCAGAATGGCACATGCAGACACTATCTGTGATGCCCATGTGACTCTTAAGCTCCGAAGACAGTTGAAACGTGCCTTTAGGATGCCAAAGATCATCTCTAACTTTTACTATGATTTTACTGACACATGAGGGTCATGATAGGGGGTTATTGTGTAGGTTTTGCTGTCCCAATTCAAATTAACAGTGTTTTGTACTGTACCAAATTTAACTAGCTTTCCTCAAAGCGCTGACACAACATACTCACGGAAAGTAGATTGTTATCTGTTAATTTTACTATTAATTTAAAGATTCATCTCACAGAAAATAATAATTTCACATGTTCACATAATCTCTACCTGAACATTAAGGCTGTGAAAAGACTTTCTATTAACATAATCTGCCTCATGTTCTCCTAGAGAAGTGGAGATTGCAACATGTGTGCAGGCTATTGCTCCAATGACTCTATAGGGAATCCTATCATAAGATTAAAATAATGCTTAACATGTACTGTATTATATAGTACATTTGTGAAATTTACTTTTTGAAAGAAAAAAAAAACGTGATGTCACCCTATCAATATATTTTACCGGCAATTTTATAAAAACCCTCTCTTATGGACATGGTCAATAAATGTCTGGGGAACACTATTAAACTATTAATGTACTCCTGCAGAGCGAGGACCACCTTGCGAATGGTTCTACAAAGCGTGTTTTTCCCTAGATTCTGTGCATCACCGATCGTGCAAGTATGTAGGCTACCACTTGCAAAAAAAACGCAACGCAATACCATTTATGGTACAGTAAGTGCATGAATTCGATGTGTTAAATTATTTATGTGCGGCTCAAGAAGTTCGCAAAGATAAGATATTCCTTCCGCAGAATATCTGTATCTTTCATAGCCTACACTATCAGAAAAGGCAAGGGGATTTTGTCCGGCTAAAAACTCTTTCTCTACGATGTGCTCGTCTAACAATTTGCGCTGAGATGTCCACAGGATTTGAAAGAAAATGTAAAGCCATTGCAACAAACACTGGGAATTAGTTACGTCACCTATATGTTTCTTTGCTCACAGCTGATTGGTCAAACTTCAGTCTGAGATCTCGAATCCAGAACTTAACCTGCCCCGGAGCAGGTTAGCCGTGCAGTGTAAGGTACCATGGCAACGAACACCGATTAAAGCCGAGCTACTTTCATAGTACCTAAAACCCAGGGTTGGCGGAAACTAAGCTGAAACATAGCTGGCTAGCCACCTAAACCGGCTTCATGGTACAGGCCCCATGTCTTACTTGGCAAAATCACGGTGACCAGACTGTATACGTCTTCACTTCTGAGTCAGCGGTAGAACTGTAGGCTGGGATGCATGGCTTTATTCCTGCTGTCGTCTCCGTCATATTTTCATTTTCTGCTCGTCCGGCACTTTGCAACAACACCGCCTTGTTTCGGCAGCGACTTTCAGTATGTTTCCTATAACAACGTCTGACGTTTACATTTTACGTGGCGTGAGAAAGTCACATAAACAACGCGAAATCCGATCAGAGCAGTCAGACTGAAACAGATTTCCAGGAATGCGATTCGGATTGCAAACCACATATGGATGTAGCTTGTAATGAATTTGTAAAAGTCACATTTCATGTGATTTTTTGCTGTTCACATTAGCTAATTCTGATCGGATTTCAATCGGATATGCACAAAAATCGGATTTGGACTGACACTTAAACCTTAAAAAGTTCCAATACAAACAAATTCCCTTTTGGTTGATCATCAGAAGTGTGTTCTGTAGTAATGCAAAGCATCTGTAGGCATCTGTCTCCACAACTAAAGTCCAGCAGCTTGATGTCATGTGAAGCTGTGGAATTGGCCACAGAATTGGGTTCCTTACTTCCGTACGTTAAATCATCGGTTAAAAACTTGGGAGTAATCATGGACAGTGATTTTAAACTTGAAAAACAGATAAATTCTGTGGTTAAAGCCAGTTTTTATCAGTTAAGGCTCTTATCTAAAGTGAAACCTTTGTTGTCATTCAAAGACTTTGAAAGAGTTATACATGTTTTTATCTCCTCTAGATTGGACTATTGTAATGCCCTCTATGCTGGTGTCAGCCAGGCATCTCTCTTACGCCTGCAGTTGGTGCAGAATGGGTAGACTATTAAAAGGTTTACGTAAACGTGATCACATTTCTCCTATACTGGCCTCCCTTCACTGGCTTCCAGTACATTTTAGGATTGAGTTTAAAATTTTAGTGTTTGCATATAAATCCTTAAATGGTCTAGCCCCGACCTACCTCTCTGAACTTATACAAAAACATGCTCCATTGAGGTCGCTTAGGTCGGCAGATTGCATGCTCTTGGCTGTCCCTAGAGAAAGGCTTAAAAATAGGGGAGATCGAGCCTTTTCAGTTGCGGCCCCTAAACTATGGAATAATTTACCATTGTCTGTGAGGCTGGCCCCAACACTCTCTGCTTTTAAATCTAGTCTTAAAACATATTTATTTTCTTCAGTCTGAGAGCTGTGTGTTTTTGTCTTCTCGTTGTCAGTTGATTTGTGCTGTTTATTTTATGATTTTGGATGTATAGCACTTTGGTCAACTT